ATCTGGGGCTGGCACTGCCGGCGCCACCGCGACGGACAACGGAGTGGCAACGCCTCGCGAGCGCCGCGTGGGTCGGGGGGGGGGGGCGCGGCGCACATCGCAGGCTCGGGCACGGCGGTAAGCTGGTCATTTGACCAACAGGGCACTACCCAGGTAGGGAACCGCCCTTCAAAAACCCAGGAAGACACAAACACCCTCCCTTTAGTGACATGCATATTTTAGCCTACATTTCAGTTACGGAGAGGTTACTAACTGGTAAACACGAACACACATTCTGTTCTAATCGGTGTGAAAACTGGTTTCCCGACTTTTAGTTGGGTCTTTTTCACATTCATTTTTGGAGGCACTGACCCAAAGGCGCCCCGCATTTCAAAATTTTCAAATTTCAGAAAGATCAGAACTAAATTATACTTTCGAACTTCTGGCAACAAAGAATCAGTGCGACATAACCAGAATCACCCCGCATCCAGCACGGCACCATGGCCCCCCGCACTTCTCGCACCACGTACACCGCCCGCCCGGGTCGCAGCCCCCTCGCCACACCCAGCCCCCACGAGTATGATGTTTCCTCCAACGCGCTCTTCACCTTCAACTCTGTGATGAGCGCGTGCGCGACGGAGAAGGGCGCGCTGGAGTGGGCGCAGCGAGTGGGGCTTCTGGCAAGCGCGCCTCTGTGTTCTACCTGCACCAATGGCATGACGTTGTACGTCGCTGTGAAGCGGACGCGCTGGCGCTGCTCCCGCACGGGGTGCCGTCTGGAGAGAAGCGTACGGGCCTCCTCCTTCTTTGCCCGGTCATCAGCTCCCTCTCGAAGCTGATCAAGCTGCTGTTGTTCTGGGCGTTCCAGCACCCAGTCACAACGGCAGCACAGCAGGCAGAGGTGCCGCCGACAATGGCAGGGCAGTGGTATGTCTGTGCCCAGGACATCTGCACCGCCGAGATGAAGCGGACGTTGCCGAAGGTAAAATCGTACATTATTCTGTTGCTAAATATTATTTAGTTAGCAGTGTTGGGTTGTATTTTTAACGGGTTGAACAATGATGTTAAACTGCTAGATCGGAGGGGTTGGGCACGTGGTCGAGATCGACGAAACGTCCCTGAAGAAGAAGCAAAAGTACCGACGTGGTACCCGCCACCCAGACTTCTGGGTCTTCGGCGGAGTCGACCGAACCACTAAAAAGTGGTTCGCTCGTGTCGTTTATAACGACCGGACGAAGCCGACTCTGCTTTGATTAAAGCTCACATCAAACCTGGGTAATGACTGTACAACTGCGTATGATTTGACAAGATATCTAACTCTTTATGCATGTTTATCAGTACTTTGATTGTCTCCGATATGTTTAAGGCGTACGTGACCCAAGTCCAGAGTGGGCGCAACAAAGGAAAGTTATACACCCTTATCAACATCAGGCACCTGCGTGGGATGCGGTACCAACACCTGTGGGTAAACCACACGAAACACTTCAAGGACCCCACGACTGGCGCCCATACGAACCGCATCGAGGGCGTCTGGGAGGTGAAGATCAAGCAGCGCATCAAAGCTGCTCGTGGTATGCGGAAAAGAGTGGTAGCTGACTACCTAGACGAGTGTATGTGGCGCACGTGGTACTTCGCGGAGAAACCTGCAAAGAGTCACATTTTCCAAGGGCTAGTTACTGGTATTAGGAAGTACTATGAGGTCTAGTTAAACCAATACAAACTGGGATGAAAAGTTCTGAAATTTGAAAATTTTGAAATACGGGGTGCCTTTGGGTCAGTGCCTTTTTGGAACATCCGAGAATGCTAGCTTGCTAGTTTTTCTTGGAACGGTCTCCGGGGGCTTTCACCACCTCCCCCGCGAGGCCAACCACTACACTTATCTTCTCCGTTTCCTCTACTTGTATTTTTGCATCAACTATTAATATTGACATATTTCAGCCTATTGCTATATTTTATAATGTTATTGCTATATTTTATAATGTTATTGCTATATTTCGTAATTCTATCGCTATATTTCGTAATTCTATCGCTATATTTCGTAATGCTAGTGCTATATTTTATAATGCTATTGATAGGTTTGGCATTATCCACCGCAGCTTTTTGCAATTTAAAAGTTTCACTTATCCGACGTCACAACGGAACAGCTGGCACTGTTTAGGGTTGTGGACCTTCTCGGCCTTTTGGCTAAGATCAAGTGTAGTATCTGTTCTAATCAGCGTGAAAACTGGTTTCCCTGCTTTTGGTGGGGTCTTGTTCACATTCATTTTTGCAATTCCCATAAGTACTTAGCTTGCTAGGTGTTTACGGGACGGGCACGCTCCACGAGCACTTCACGGCGGTGAACTCGCCCCGCATCAACTTCCTACCAGATGAAGCTAGCGGGGCGTTGTTCCGCGGGGCGATGGCCGACGTCGGGACACCGCAGGAGCGGCGGAGCGCGCTCACGGACGAGCTGACGATGGACGAGGTGGAGGACCAGCTCATGCAAGCGGCCGCGAACTCCAGCCCTGGCCACGACGGCGTGGGATACGACATCTACAAGAAGTTCGCGGCGCAGCTGGCCCCCCTCCTCCACGCAGCCTTCCAGTTCTGTTGGCGCCACCACCGGGTGCCTGCCCCGTCGAAGGTGGGGTTCGTCCGCCTCATCCACAAGAAGGGTGACCCCAACGACCCAGCGATCTGGCGGCCGATCTGCCTGCAGACCGCGATCTACAAGCTCTACAGCGGTCTGCTGGCGCGTCGGCTGTCGGCGTACCTGGAGGCGAACGGGCTGCTGCTCATGGCGCAGAAGGGGTTCAGGGCGTACAATGGTTGCCACGAGCAAAACTTCGTGGCAACCACGCTCCTGGACCAAACCCGACGCATGCACCGCAGGCTGTACCAGGTCTGGTACGACCTGCAAACCGCGTTCGGGTCCGTTCACCAGGACATGCTGTGGTATGTGTTCCGCCTGCTCGGCGTCGAGCGTGCGTTCGTCGAGCGCTGCGACGACATCTACGAGGACTCCTACTTCGTCGTCGGCAACGCGGCCGACGGAGCGACGGAACCAGTGCGGCAGGAGGTGGGCGTGTACCAAGGCTGTCCACTCAGCCCCCTCCTGTTCATCGCCGCGCTGGTGCCGTTGCTCCGAGCATTGGAGAAGCTCGACGGAGTGGGCGTCGCGTTGGTGGACGGGGTGCGGCCATGCACCACGGCCTACGCCGACGACCTCAAGGTGTTCAGCGACAGCGCGGCCGGCATCAAGCGCTGCCACGCTGTCGTTGAGCAGTTCCTGGAGTGGACGGTGCTGCAGGCCAATCCAGGCAAGTGCGCCTTCCTGGCCGTGACACGCAACGCGCGCGGCAACCCCGCCCACGACAAGGACATGAAGCTGTCGCTCCACGACGAGGAGGTCTCAAGTATCAAGCTGCACGACAGCTACCCCTACCTCGGCGTGGGCGACGGCTTTGACCACGTCCGCCACCGTCTCCAGCTCGAGCCCAAGCTACAACAGATCAAGCGGGAGGCGGTGGCGCTGATGCAGTCGGGGTTGGCGCCGTGGCAGGTGGTGAAGGCGCTCAAGACCTACGTCTACCCCAAGGTCGAGTACGCGCTTCGCCACCTCCGCCCGCTCCAGTCCCAGCTACAGGGCTTTGACCGTGTGGTAGCCAAGGGCCTGCGGCATCTGTTACGCCTGCCCCGCTCGGCAACCAACGAGGTGCTCTACGAACCAACGTCGAGCGGTGGCTTGGGGCTCGCTGCACTCGAAGGACCCGGCGATCCGGGAGGTGGCGCGCGCACAGGTGTGCCAGGTGGTCCGCAAGCGCCACCACCTCCGCGAAGAACACTGGCGGGGGCGTGACGACGAGCTCGTGCGGTGCTTCCTCAACTCCGAGCTCGCCGCCTCGCCCCACGCGGAGGCGCTGCGCCGCCACGGCGACATCGGGTCACTGTGGTCCGACGTACAGCGGTGGCTGCGCATCTACCACCTCAGCCTGGCGGTGCAGGACGACCGCAACGGCCAGGACCCATTCGGCCTCCGCGTGCCGCACCACGCCAAGTGGCTCGACCACAAGTCGGTGCTGCGGCACGTAAAGTTGCATATGAAGATCCGCCACCAGACCCGATGGAAGGGTCTGGCGGACCAAGGCAAGACGGTGAGGGCCCACGGCGGTGCCGGCGCCAAGTTCGTGTCGACGGTGGCGGGCCTGTCGGACGACGACTACCGCTTCGGCGTGAAGGCCCGCCTCAACCAAGTCGACACCAACTCGGCGCTGAAGCGTAAGCACCTGCGGGCCCACACGGCCTGCAGGGACCCGACCTGCTCCTCGGCCGAGACGCTGGCCCATGTCCTCAACCATTGCGAGTCCAACATGGACGCACTCCGCCAGCGTCATGACGACGCCCTGAAGCAGATCGGGTCCAAGATCCGTAACGCGCTCGAGCGCGGCAAGCCGGTCGCGGAGCTGCGCCTGAACCAGACAGTGCCCGAGTACATGGGCGCAGCCCTGCGGCCGGACATTGTACTACGGATCGTGGCCGCCAAGAAGATGGTGATCACCGACTTGGCGGTCACGTTTGAAGAGCACGCGACCGGCGCCCGCCACTCCTCACTGCAGCTCAGCCACAATCACAAGATTCTTAAGTACCAACCGATCGTGGCGGAGCTGCGGCTTAAGGGGTGGCAGGTGCAGACCGCGGCGATCGTGTACGAGTCGCTGGGCTCGGTGCAGCCCAGCAACTTCAATACCTAGACGGAGAAGTTGAAGCTGCACAAGCGCGAGACTCGACAGCTGGACCTTCAGCTTTCGAGCCACTGCATCCGCACCAGCCACCGAGAGAGGCTAAAAAAAACCCTCCAGCTAGAAGACATGCATATTGCTATTCACATTTCGGTCTAGGAGAGGTCACTCATACTGGTAAATACATACACACATTCTGTTCTAATCAGTGTGAAACCCGACATTCAGTTGGGTCTTTTTCACATTCATTTTCGGAACATCCGAGAATGCTAGATTGCTCGTACAACTTGGCGAGGTGCTTCAGCGGAACTCAGCGGGCTCATTGGCGGACCGGCAGATGCCCTTGTACGTCGATATCGCGTACTACCCCATAGGCCGTGGGGGTAGGGCATTACCACTGAAGATCAAGATCTTTTCATGGCTCTTCAACACTTCCACCAGCCGAGTAGATTGTGGTCGAGTGTGCGCCAAACTTTGACCATTAGTCGCTTCATAGTCGAGTTGCGTCGATTTTGCTTCAGTCACGTCGGGTAGGAACGCCAACTCGCGAGCATAGTCGTCGAGCTCCAAGTTCGTTGCCTGGTGCTCAAACTCGGCTGAGCCTTCCGCCGAGTCGCCTTGGTCAGCTGTCTCTTCCTCGTACTTGGCTGCCAGAAGGTAACGTAGGTGCAGGTCTTCCTCTGGATCTGATGACATGGTTCGTCGCTCACATCGATCTCGTCTCCAAGTTTCAGACTAAGCGGCCTGGTTCAGGGCCATCCATTATCGTCCAGTTCTACAAGTCGCCTAGCGGTTCCCCACTCATCTGCTGCACATGCATCTAAGCTGGGCGATTCATAGCCGACCGCCCCCGTGACCTCCGTTCGGCTAGCTATTGACTGGGTCAGCAATAGGCTCCGTGCTCGCTGGTACTTCGTCGTGCGCTAGGGTAGCGGCAGCCGAGTTCGCCGGCCCTGGCAGAGTCAGGGGTAGACTGTCGACGTCTTCAGTCTCGGCTCACGCCTCTTCCGACTCAGCTATCTTCTCCCATTGCCGGGCACAAGTCAGCGTCGAGTCCCGCTCCTTGTTAGTCGGCCACGTAGTCACTCGGTTCAGGGTAGTTTCTACGGTCCACAGCTGACTGCTGTCGAGCCAGCCACTCGGCGTACGACTGCTGTTCCCGTTGCAGTCGATCCTGGTCCATCGCCCCTTCGTAGGCCATGACCTGCCAATCTTCGTACTTCGCTGAATGCAGTCTGACAAAACCATTGGGTGGTCCGGCAATTTAGTCACCGAGTCGTAAAGATCCAGGCGGATCCCAGGCGGGATGATGAGATCCGTGCCGAGAATCAACTCGACACCCGCATGGTGATCGAGGATCCATTCTTCAAATTCATACGTGACTTCCAAGCCGAGTATCACCTTCACCATCGCTCGTGACATCGTCGCTACTGTGCCTTTCCCAATACCTTAAACGCCAATCTGTTGGTTCTGGCGTGTGAACCGCTTCGACCGCAGTTTCCTCGCGAATCCTTCACATACTGCCGACACATTCGCACCGTCAAGCAATATTTTCGGACGCTGGTCGTTCACTGCTCCCATAACGAGAGCTCACATCCGAACTCGGCGGTCGAACTTTTGTGACGACCACCCGCCGAGTCGCTCCCCAGGGAGCAGCTTCATAACTCTGGTGGCTGTAGTCACATCCGTCGATCGCTGAGTCGCAACTGCACTGGACAATCTTGCTCGGCTTTTTTCTCCACTCTCACCTGATCTCACAATCACGTCCATCGCTATCACAATCCAATACTTCGCCGTCCCCTAGTTCCTCGGGCCTTCCTGCCTCACCGACAAAGGCATACACAAAGTTCGCCTCTACTACCGGCTCGACTGACTGTGGTAGCCCGGTATCGTCCAACCCAGTCAGTGTTGGCGGGCCCTCGAGTTTAAATCACTCGGCGTGTAGAGCCCCTGAAGGTCGTCAGATAACTTGGTCTTGTCAACGTTAGACTTGACAAACGCAGCGAGCTTCTCACAGCGCTGGAACAGTTCGCACTGACCGACATCATGCACTTGCTTGCAGAACTTACAGCGACGGCGGCAGTAGTGAATGGGGTGGTTCGCTCCGCCGCAGGCGGCACAAGGTCCGTACGACAGGCGTTCACGGGAGTCACTGCGTCGCCCAGCTTGGTCGCGCCGATCGTATCCTCGACTGGCGCGGTCAGCCGAGGTCGGCTGGCCCCTTCGGTGATCACTCCTTGGTGTCTCAGCTGAGTTCTCTCGGTCTCCCGATCTACGGACGTGGTCGCTTGTGAGCCCAGTGCCGATGTAATCGTCGTATGAGTCCACAGGCGAGTCGGAGTAGCTCAGCTGACTTTTGTCGCTCCGATCGCTGTCCGAGTCGTAGAGATTGGTACGCCGATTGGATTGGCGTCTCTCGGCCAGTTCGTACGGGTCGTCTTCCAACAGCGCTGTCGCTAGTCGGCAACCAGGCCCATTGCGGCCGACAGGGCCACACCCATGTAGGGAACCGCCCTCGGAAACCCTGCACCGGCTCACATGGTCCGACCCCCCAATTGGTTCAACCCGTACACCAACCACACACCAATTAGGGACTCCCAGGTAGTCACTACCAGGACGCAACGGACTAACCGGCAGGTAATACATTAACCCTTTCTGTTCTAATCAGTGTGAAAACTGGTTTCCCTGCTTTTGGTGGGGTCTTTTTCACATTCATTTTTGGAACTGCTGCTTTCGGTTAGCTTGCTAGCCAATCGCGGTACGGTCTCCGGGGGCTTTCACCCATCCCCCGCGAGGCCAACTACACTTGATCTTCTCCGTTTCCTCTACTCTTATTTTTGCATCAACTGTTAATATTGACATATTTCAGCCTATTGCTATATTTTATAATGTTATTGCTATATTTCGTAATTCTATCGCTATATTTCGTAATTCTATCGCTATATTTCGTAATGCTAGTGCTATATTTTATAATGCTATTGATAGGTTTGGCATTATCCACCGCAGCTTTTTGCAATTTAAAAGTTTCACTTATCCGACGTCACAACGGAACAGCTGGCACTGTTTAGGGTTGTGGACCTTCTCGGCCTTTGGCTAAGATCAAGTGTAGTATCTGTTCTAATCAGTGTGAAAACTGGTTTCCCTGCTTTTGGCCGCAGCCAACGCCACCGTCGCGGCGGCCACTGTCACGCCCGACTCGCCCCAACCAACAACCCCGGAGCTCGCAGCGTCCCCCCCGCTTGCGAGCCCCACTCATCCCGAAGTTGTTGACGTGCAGGAGCAGCCGAGCCAGGGACGATGGGGGCCAGCGCTACCCAGAGCTCTGGTCGCTGAACGTGTCGCCGCGCGCCTTGGTGCCATTCCAGCACCACGCTGGGAACCTCCGCCGCCCCGAGAGCTGGTGGCCACCCGCATAGCTGCGCGTCTCGGTGAGGTTCTAGCGCCTCGCTGGGGCCCACCGCTGCCGCGCCGCATGGTGGCGTCTCGGATCGCCGCTCGCCTGCTCCCACCAGAGCCGACGGCTGACGGCGAGACCAAGGAGGACACCTCGGCGGACGGAGCAGACCTGACGGCCAGGGACGCAAACCAGGAGGACAACCCGGCGGCCGCACCCGACCGGACGGCGACAGCGGCGGCGATGGACGTGGACAGCGGCGCCGACGGAGAGTGGCTGCTGCGCTTCGACGGCGCCTGCCGCGCCAACCCAGGACCCGGCGGAGCTGGTGCAGCGCTGTTCAAGCCCGACGGCTCCGTGGGGTGGACGTGCTCCCACTACATGCCGAGCAGCAGTGAAACGAACAACACTGCCGAGTACTCGGCGCTGCTGCTCGGGTCGAGAGCCGCTGCCGACCACGGAGCGACGTCGCTGAGGGTGGAAGGCGACAGCACCCTTGTGATCCAGCAGGTGCGCGGCATCTTCGCGGCGAGGAACGCCGTTCTACGCCGCCTCCGCGACCAAGTCAAGGTGGAGCTCGCGCGGGTGGGGAGCTTCTCACTCCACCACAACGACCGCCAAGCGAATGCCCATGCCGACCGCCTGGCCAACCAAGCCCTCGACCTCCGCCGGACGGTGATGGAGTGCGGTGTTCACACGGCAGGCGACGGCTGTACGAACACGACGCTGGACCCTATGCCCGTGCTGCTGCCCCAGCCGACACCCCGCACTCCGCCTCCGACACCCGCGGCCGACACCAACACCGAGATGCAGGAGCCGGAGGACGAGGATCTCGCCGACATCGACGACGGCGAGGTCTATGCAGCCATGCGCATCGGGCCGGACGCAGTTCCGCAGCGTCGACCCCGCCTCCGACTACGCCAGCTCACCGAAGCTGAGGACGACGCTGCCCGCGAGATGGTGGAGCGGCTTGGCGCGACGCTGGCGGCCAAGATCACTGACGCCAGTGACTGGGAGTCGGCGGAGGGCTACATCACAGCCCTCCCGCACCTCCTGTACGACAAATTGCAGCCGTACTCCCAGGCCCAGCGACGCCCCGAGCCGCGTCCCCAGCGTCAGCGACAGCAGCACCAAGGCAGCCAGTGCCCGCGGCAGCAGCGGCAACAAGGCGAACAGCGACGGCAGCGCCCGCTGCACGACCAAGGGCAGGACCGCCGCAGCCTGGAAGGCGATGCACATGAAGACAACGAGCGCGATGGCGACGCCAGTCAGCAGGACTCGGCGCGACGGAGGCAGTGCAGGCGCCGCGGGCGCTCTGGTGCAGCGAAGCGGCGACGTCGCCGCCGCCCGCCGCGGGTGACTCGACACCACCGCGAGCACCGCCTCGACGAGGCCCTGGACGATCTCCACGCCGTGGAGCAGGCTTCGCCCGGAGACCGCACGGCTGTTCGCCGAGCCCGCCGCCGCGTCGGCCGCGTCAACTCGGCCATCGACCAACAGCACCTGCGTCACCGGTTCGACACGGACGAGAAAGCCTGCGTCGAAGACATCCTGGCCAAGGCACGCGCGCAGCAGGAGACGCCAAGGACAGCAGCCTCCAGCGCCGGCACCGCATCGGACCCAGCGGCGCCAGCGGCAGGCGCCACAGACGACGGTACCTGCCCCATTCCGGGCGATGAGCTCTGGCGGTACTTTGACGGCGTCAACACACCCAGCCAGGAGTTCGCTCCGGACGCCCCGGCGGGTGCTGCCTTCCGCTCCGCTATGACCCACCTGCCGGCCGCGTCGAGGTTCAGGGAGCTGCTCACGGAGGCGCCGACACAGGACGATATCGAGTCACAGCTGCAGCACGCCCACGGCACCTCCAGCCCCGGCCTCGATGGCGTCGGCTATGACGTGTACCAGCACTTCGCCGCGCAGCTCCTGCCCGTGCTCGCCACCGCCTTCCAGAAGTGCTGGGAGGCGAAACGTGTGCCCCAGAGCTGGAAGCTCGGGGTGGTGCGGCTGCTGCACAAGAAGGGCGCGCGCGAGGACCCGGCGAACTGGAGGCCCATTTGCCTCCAGCAAGCCATCTACAAGCTCTACGCGGGGGTCCTCGCGCGGCGGCTGGTACGGTGGCTGGACGCGAACGACCGCCACGCCCCGGGGCAGAAGGGCTTCCGAGCGGTCAACGGCTGCGGGGAGCACAACTTCCTCGCGGCCACGCTCGTCGACCAGGCCCGCCGCAAGCGCCGCCAGCTCTACGAAGTCTGGTACGACTTCCGCAACGCGTTCGGCAGCGTGCCGTTCGCGCTGCTATGGGATGCACTCGCGCGGCTCGGCGTCCCCGAGGACTACGTCACCATGTGCAAGGGGCTCTACGAGAGCGCGGCGTTCGTCGTCGGGAACGCCGCCGACGGCACAACGGCCCCGATCTCGCTGCGGGTGGGAGTCTTCCAAGGCTGCCCGCTCAGCCCACAGCTCTTCAACGCTGCCATCAGCCCGCTGCTCTTCGCGCTGAAGCGACTGCCGACCACGGGAGTGCCGCTGTCGGGCGATGACTGCCCCGGTGCCTCGGCGTACGCCGACGACCTCAAGATCTTCAGCGGCACCGAGGACGGCATCAAGCGACAGCACGCGCTCGTGGCCGACTTCCTCCGCTGGACCGGCATGGCGGCCAACCCCAGCAAATGCTCCGCCATGTCGATCCAGCGCGACCGCCGCGGCGTGCTCAAGGCGGACGACCTCAAGCTGGAGCTGGACGGGTCGCCGATCCCCGCGCTGTCCATGAGCGCCTCGTACACCTACCTGGGGGTCGGCGACGGCTTCGACCACACACGCCGCCGCGTCGAGCTCGCGCCCACGCTCAAGCAGCTGAAGGATGACGCGACAGCGCTGCTCCAGTCGGGCCTCGCACCGTGGCAGGTGGTGAAGGCGGTGAAGACGTACCTCTACCCTCGGGTGGAGTACGCGCTTCGCCACCTCCGCCCCTTCCAGCAGCAGCTTGCGGGCTTCGACCGGCACCTCGCGCGAGGCCTCCGCCATCTCCTGCGGCTGCCAGCCTCCGCCACAGCGCAGTGCTTCTACGCACCGGTGTCGCGCGGCGGACTGGGCTTACTGCCGCTGACGGAACTGCACGCGGCGCTGCAAGTCGCGCATGGGTGGCAGATGCTGAACTCCAAGGACCCTGCCATCCAGCGCATCGCGCGCGTGCAGCTCCGGCAGATCGCCGACGCGCGCCACCGGCTGGACACTCAAGCGTGGGCGGGCCGCGAGGAGGAGCTGTGCGAGCTGCTGCTCAACTCGCAGCTCGGGACGTCGCCCGACGCGCCGCCAAAGCGCCGCAACGGCGACATCGGCTCGCTCTGGGTCGACGTCCAGCGCCACCTCCGCACGCTCGGCCTCCAGTTCGCGACCGCGCCGGCGTGCGCCGACACCGGCACGGCCGCGGCCACGCTGCAGCTTCGCGTGCCGTACCACGACAAGTGGCTCGACCACCGCACGGTCCTGCGGCACGTGAAGCTGCACATCAAGCACAGGCACTGGGCCAAGTGGGCGGCCATGCGCGACCAAGGCAGAACGGCACGCACGCACGGCGGCGTCGGCAGCAGCTTCCTCACGCGGCCGCGAGGCATGTGGGAAGCTGACTATCGCTTCGCGGTGGCCGCCCGCTTGAACCAGCTCGACACGCACAGTGTGCTCAAGCGCCGGCGCCTCCGGGCCCACGACCGATGCAGGCAGCCGGGCTGCTCCCGGGTGGAGACGCTGGCGCATGTGCTCAACCACTGCCCGGTCACCATGGACGCGGTCCGCGGCCGCCACGACGACGCACTCAAGACCATCGAGCGTGCGCTCATCGCGTCGTCGTCGGGCGACCGGCAGGACCGCGTTGAGCTCCGGGTTAACCAGACCGTGCCCTCGCTCGCTGGCCCCGCGCTGCGGCCCGACCTCCAGCTGTACAACCACACCAAGAAGACGGTGGCGGTGGTCGACCTGGCCGTGGCGTTCGAGGAGCAGGCGGGCGAGGACCCGGACAGCTCAGCGCTGGCCCGCATCGCCGCACACAAGCGCGCCAAGTACGACCGCATCAAGCGCCACCTCGAGCGCCAAGGGTGGAAGGTGCACCTCTCGGCGCTCGTTTACGGCTCGCTTGGTGCGGTCGCCGGTGGCAACCGCTCGGTTTACACCGAGCACCTGGGGCTGCTCAAGCGAGACGCGAAGCGGCTGGACTGGCAGCTATCTGCCGCGTGCATACAGTCCAGCCGCCGCATCTGGAACCTGCATTGCAGCCAGCACCGCGCCCGCCAGCACGCACAGCGCCCCAGCCAAGACACCAGGGGCAGTCGGGTGACGGAGACCGGGGGGACTCCGTCGCGCTCCGGCCACCGCTAGACGGCAACCAGGCCCATTGCGGCCAACAGGGCCACACCCATGTAGGGAACCGCCCTCGGAAACCCTGCACCGGCTCACATGGTCCGACCCCCCGATTGGTTCAACCCGTACACCAACTACACACCAATTAGGGACTCCCAGGTAGTCACTACCAGGACGCAACGGACTAACCGGCAGGTAATACATTAACCCTTTCTGTTCTAATCAGTGTGAAAACTGGTTTCCCTGCTTTTGGTGGGGTCTTTTTCACATTCATTTTTGGAACTGCTGCTTTCGGTTAGCTTGCTAGCCGATCGCGGTACGGTCTCCGGGGGCTTTCACCCATCCCCCGCGAGGCCAACTACTACTTGATCTTTTCTATCCAGCTACCTTTTCGGCCCTTCACCACCGCATCGGCGCATGCGCTTCTGGTGGCCGGACTGGCAGCCCCGGGAGCGCTCGCCGTCCACCGACAGCGAGTGCTCCACGGCCAGCCACTCCAGCCTCGCCAGCGACGGGGCTGGGGCGGCTGAGCTGGCGGACGTCCGGGCGGGGGCGGATCCGCTAGGGCTTCGGTTACGCATTGGGGATCCGCCCGCCCCCGTTTTGGGCTCGGCCGGAGCCGAAAATGGCCCCGGCGACCCTCCACGCGCGGCGCCGCTGCTCGGCACCGGCGAGGGGTTGGCCGGCGCAACTTCGGGCACGGGTCCGCGACCCGCTGCGCCCATTGCGCCCATTGCGCCCATTGCGGGACCGCGGGCCGGGCCCTCTGGCGGCCAAGCCGAGGCCCGGTCCGCCGCTTCAACCTCGCGTCGCTTCGCGGCGACGGCGAGCGGACGCGGGCCCGCGGACCGTCCGCCGGGCGGGACCGGGCCCCGTCCACTTGGCCGCACTATGCCCGGATCCCGGGCCTCTCGTGCGCCGCGCGGCACGGTCGCCACGACCGAAGAACACGGCCTCGAGCATGCGGCGCTTCGGCGAGGCGCGCGGAGCGACGGCTCCTGCGCAGCCCCCACGCCTGCTATGGACCCCCACGCGCGCCGGTTGGCTGCCCAAGACCCCGCCGCCGCCGCTCCGCCTCTCCTCGCGCCCCAGCTGCCCCCCAGTGATGTTGGCCGACCCGGCAGGGCGGCCGGCAGGCTGCCCGATCCGGTAGCGCCTGGGGCGGCGCTCGCAGCCGCCACTGCGCGGGCCCTGGCGGTCCGCCACGGGCCCAGCGACCTGGACGACGACAGCAGCAGCGACGACGAAGCCTTGGACGGCCACGACGCCGCCGCCAGCAGCCCCCAAGACCCCAGCAGTGTGTTGCCCCGACCCGGCAGGGCGGGCGGCATGCTGCCCGCTGGGAGAGCGCTCGCAGCCCCGCCGGCTCGCGCTCCCGCGGCTACCCCCACGGCCCCCCAGCACCTCGACGACCCCGGCGCCGGCCCAGACGCCGCGGCCGGCCACGCCGCCGCCGCATGCAGCCCCCAAGACCCCGCCGATGATGCTGGCCGACCCGGCAGGGCGGCCAGCAGGCTGCCCGTCGGTAGAGCGCCCGCAGCCGCCACGGCGCGCGCTCCCACGGGCAGCCAGGGCCCCGACGACCTCCGCCGCGCCCAGGACGACGACGGCGACGACGCGGACGGCCAAGACGACCCCGCCGCCGCCGCCAAGCCCCGCCCGGACCCTGCGAGTGTATTGCCCCGGCCCGGCAGGGCGGGCGGCAGGCTCGCCGAGGGTGGAACCCAGGCGCCCCCAACACCAAGCCCAGCTGCGGCTGCCGCTGCCGCCGAAGTAGTAACAGCCGCAGCCGCAGCTGTCCAAGATGCAGCAGCTCCTGTTGTGCGCGCCACCGTGGGGCACCGCGCGCGCGCTACGCCGAACCCAGCACGCTACTATCAGCCACGCGCGCGCGCGGAGCCCATGACAGGCGACGCGCTCCGCCGGAGAAGACGCTGCAAGAACCATGGCCACGACGGAGGTGACCAAGAGGCCAAGACGGAGGAGAGCGATGCCACGGCGGCTAAACTCGCGGCCGTGCAAGCAGCACCGAGGACCCAGCCCCAGCACTTTGGACCGGACGACGGCCAGCAGGGCACGGTGCAGGCGACGTACGCGCACGACGCTGCCCAGTTCGAGTGCGCGTTGTGCGCGTACGTCGCCCCGAACCTCGCGACGCTGGTGGCGCACCGCCGAGCAGCACACCACGGCACCCGCCTCCAGGACGTCTTCTCCAGCGGGTGCCGGTGCTCGCTCATCTTCTTCTCGCGGATCGTGGCTGCATGCCACGCCCAAGCGTGTACCCAGCGCAACCCTCCAGCCGCGGCCGCCACCTCCGCGACGGCCCAAGCTTCGGAGGCAGCGGTGCCACCCCCGACACCTGTTGACCCCCCGACGCGGACCGGGGCCCACCAGCAGCCCCGCCGCAGCAAGGACTGCCGCTGCAGCAGCCGTACCACGCGGCACTGCGGTGGCAGACACCGCCACCCTGCAGAGCGCTG